TGATATATTCTGGGATTATTAATTTGGAACCAGGAAATAGTATCATTTAGTATACACATTAATTGTAATGTAAATAATGGCATTAGATTAAAAAAGTAAAACATCGGGCTGGCCTAGTGGCGCAATGGTTAAGAACTGGCTTGGGATGCCAGAGGGCCCCGGTTCGGATCCCACATATGAGGGCCAGTGACACTGCCCTCCACAGCTAAGATGCTGAACAACAGCTCAACCTGGAGCTGGGCTGCCTTGAGTCGCCGTCGATGGCCTAGGCTGCATAGGCTGCAGCTTCTGCTGCAGTGGGTTGCCATGGGCTACCGTGTGTAGCCAGCAGCAGCAGTGAGCGGCCATCCAGAAGCCAGCGACTGATTTGCCTCACCCGGGAAGAACGCAATGATGATGCCAACTTGGGCCAGTGAAGCAACATCCTCCACAACTAGACTGAAGACCAAAAACGACAGCAACTTGTCTGTTCCCCTTCCCCAATTCCCCAATTAAAAAAAAAAAAAAAGTAAAACATCAAAAAATAAAGGTTTAGTTAAGAGCTATTGGTATAAAATTGAAAAATAATCATGTATAGTGAACTAAAAATCCACAAAAAAATAAATTTTACAAAAAAGATTTCTATATGAAAACTGCAATATATTGCTAAGAGAAATCAAGGATAATTAAATAAGTGAAGAACTATACCACATTCATGAATTGGACTTATTAATAATAGGCCTTATTAAAATGTTAATTCTCCCTAAAATAAACTATTGATTTCAATCCAATGCCAATCCAAATCTCAGTAGCTTTTTTAAGAATAGAAATTGGCAAGTTGTTTCTAAAATTTATAAGGAAATGAAAATGAACCAAGAATTCTAAGTCAATTGTGAAAAAGATGACCATGGTTTTACCTCTCTTTCTATCCAATTTCAAAATTCTCTATAAAGTTACATTAACCAGGATAATGTGTGACTGGCATCAATATAGACAAATCAATGAAACACAAAAGAGTGTAAAAAAAGTAGCAACAGGTAAATATGGTCAATTGATTTTTGACTAGTTTGCAGAAACAATTCAAACAAGAATAAGAATGCTTTCCAACAAAAATGACATCCATATTGGAAAATTATCTACTTCCATCCCTACCTCACTCAGACACAAGCAATAATTCTTAGATGGGGGTTAAACCTAATCCTAAGAATGAAAAATACAAAGCTATTAGAAGAAAACAATCACAATCTGGGTAAGCAAAGATTTTATTTAGAAGAAAACAATCACAATCTGGGTAGGCAAAGATTTTATAGATAAGACACAGGGATCACTCATTATAAAATAAAAACTGGTAATTTCAACTTATGATAAAAATGTCTTTCAAAAATACAGCTAAATAAACAAAATAGCAAGCCTCAGAACAGGATCTGTAGGTATAAATATAGATATAGATATAGAGCTATATTTCAAAGAATTTATGTGCAAATTTGTAAAAATATATGTCCAAATATATAAAATTTACAATATTTAATTATAAGAAATAAACTCTAAGCTAATAAGATCATGAAGAATATATACAGATGAGTAATGTGGATATGAAAAAGTATTTAGCATCTTCTGTCATTAAAGATGTGTAAATTAAAATCACAATGCAATTCTACTGTACTCCCAAATGAATGGCTAAAATAAAAGAGGTTATCAACTCCAACTGATAAGCTACAGCAACCATATTTCTCACATTTTAATAAAATGTTACAACTACATTGGAAAATCAGTTGACTGTTTCTCATGCAGTTAAACATGCACTTATCTTGTAACAGAAACATTCAACTGGTAAGCATTTATCCAGAAAAATGAAAAAAATATATATGTATTTGTTTACAGATGTGTATAGTAGCTTTACAAATAACAGCCCTAAACAGGGAAAAAAATCAAATGCTCATCAACAGGGAAATAGGTAAATAAATTATGTTATATTCACAATAGAATATTATTTATAAATAACAAAAAATAAACTACTGCTACTGAGAATATGGATGAATCTAAATATTTTACAATGTTCAAAAGCAGCCCAAAGTATATATACTGTGTACCTCAATCATAGCGACTTTGTGATTTCATTTATAAATTCTAGCAGTGTAAACAATTAAGATGAAATAAGTCACAATATTGCTACCTCTGAGGGGTGAAGGCTGAGTGTGCAGGAGAACCTCTCTAAGGCTATGTAAATGTCCTAGACATTGATAAGGATGTGATTACACAGGGAGTGTGCATTTATAAAAGCCATTGAAATGTACAAGATCTGTACATTTCAGTACTTGTTAATATTATCCATTTTTAAAAAGTCACTTACTCAAGGAGAATAGAACATTCAAGCATTCTTAACAGGATCCTATTATTTATTAGCTGATAGTTGTTTGTTGGCAGCAAATTTTCCATGAAATAAATGATAGTTAAGAGAGTGAGCTTAATGAATGCATGTTAGCACTAGTTCAATTGTAAAAACATTTTCTTCATGTATTTTATAAAGGTGCCAGAAGATTTTGTCATTATATATAAAATTTTATTTCCAACTTTTTCATCAGTATGCTATTTTCTAATGGTTTCCAAAGTGTATTTTTTTTCTTTAAGCCCTGTGAAGATGTACCAAGTAATTACCACAATTGATTTAGCATATATTTTAGCCATATTTTTGATAATGATAAGAGCTGACATTTATTATGTTACCATGTGCCAGATACTGGGTTAAGATACTTCACTTAATCTTCACTGAAATCCTTTGTTACAGATAAGAAAATATGTGATATTTTTGTTAAATAACTTGACTAAGTTCCAACTGCTTGTAATGAACAGAAACAGAATTTAAATACAGCCTGTCTTCCTCCCGATTCTTAAATATTACGCATCACTTCCTGCTAAGATAATGTAAGGACTTTATTGATAATAACATGATTAATCAGATATAAATCAATACTTTATGAGCATAGAAATAAAAATGGAGAAATGCATATAATGAAAACAATAAAAATGTCAGAACGGTCCACATTTATATGAAAATAAATCTCTAAAATGTGTTCAGATTCATATGCAAGCACTACACGATCTTTTCTGGCTCTTTTAAATGTCCTCATCGTTTAATGTCCTTCTTGGATATATTAATCCATTCATTCCTTTATTTTTTCAACTAATTTTCAATGAGCCCTTATCATTTCACAGCCATTAAATTGTCCTCCAGTGACTAAGAGCATGGAATTCTACACCTATTCTGTTGATTTGGAAAATGAAAATTAACCAGAAGGATCACAAGCAAACCTCATGTATTCTTACAATAGTCATTTAAAAGTAATTAGTGAATGCTTATTTTCAAAGTGATTATTGTTAAAAAAAAATCTAAACGGAAGTCACTTGCGCTAATTTTGCAGATGCAAAACCATGGAAAATTCAGGTGGAACAGAAAAGACTAAAGCAGTACACTTGTCAACCTGTTTCAAAGGATATTACCGAAGTGCATAAACCACAGTGAGTTATCACCCTACCCCAACTAGAATGGCGTAGTTTAATGTTTAAATCCCCCTCAAATTCATGTTAAAACCTAACCCCCAACTGATGGTATTAGGAGGTGGGGCCTCTGGAAAGTGATTCGGTAATAAGGGCAGAGGGCTTATGAATGAGATTAGTGCCCTTGTAAGAGAGCGGAGGACACCACTAGATGGCAGCCATTGAAGAAGCAGGTAACGGGGCCTCATCAGACACCAAATGTGCAAGCATCTTGATCTTGGTCTTTCCAGCCTCCAGAACTGGGAGAAATAAATGTTTGTTGTTTAAAGTACCCAGTTTATGGCACTTTGCTATAATAGCCTGAACAGACTAAGACATGTATAGAAACAGAACCCAGATGAGTGGCTTGCTGGGTTGGGGCACAAGGAGGGGGACTGGAAGATCATGACAAAAAGGACAGGATTTCTTTGTGGAGTAATGAGGATGTTCTAAACTTGATTGTGGTGATGAATGCATAGTCTGTAATATCCTAAAACCCATTGAACTGAACTCTTTCAAAAGGTGAGTTTTATGGTATGTGAACAATTTCTAAGTGAAGCTGTTAATGTCTCATACTTCTTACAGAGAGAACATAATTTTATTTTACAGAGCACTCTTTTCTAATGTGAAGTATTACTAATTTCTAATATATTTATTGTTCTATCATGAAGGCATAGACATCTTTTCTGAATGCATACATAATTTCTGCATGAAATTCTGGACTTGGGGTAATTGGAACCTTCTCTCTCAACATGTAAAGAAAGACTTCATTGTTATTACAGTAGATACATTTTCTTAGAGTTTTATTCTAATTTCATTTGAATACAGTCATATACACCTTTTTTAATTCAAATACAATTATTGGTATTTATGTGGGTTTTTTTTGTTTTTAATTTTAGATACTCACCACAATGCAATACTCTGGAAGGGAAGAAACAAGAGTGTCTTCAGCTATATCTCATATACTTCTCTCAAAGAGGATTAAACCTGCCTGTTGAAATTCCAAGAGTTGTTCTCTCACTGTAAGTTTTCTAAATGTTGATTGAAGCTTGAGGAGGGGTGTTATATTGGTAAAATTATTCAAGAACAATGATCAATTTCATTTATTTTTCTTCTAAATGGAAGTATTTGAAGGACCATTTTTCCAATACCTGATGTCTTAATTTTACGTAAGGCACAAGCACAGGACAGAGCAAGTGTCAAAATTAGAAGGAGAATAAAACACTTCGACAAAGGCATGAGGACTAAGTGTGTCATGATGCCCATTTTCCTCCACTATGCCAGGACTGAAGTACCGGAAGAGGTATATGATTTATTCACTTCATCTGACAAAAGAGTAACATTATATGTAGTACATTTTGCGTACTCTGCCAGATCCTGGCATCAAAAATAAAAACTGTGAGAGCCCTGCTGATGAGAAAATCTCAGTATAAATCTTCATGTACAAGTGACATGTTCTCCTATGATACAGAAGGTGAATAGCTTACCATTTTCTGAAGCAGCGACTGTGATGTTGTGCCATGGCGTTTCTTCTCTGTCAAGAACCTGTGTAGTCTTAATAGTTCCAGTATTGGCATCGATATTGAAAAATCTGTCATCTTCAGCACTGTAGTCAATGAAATATCTAGAGAACAACATAGATAAATCTTCTTTTTACATGATGTTATAATAAAGGAAATAAAACTGAACCAAGGTGTTAAATTAAATATATTCAAATATTTAAATGTATATATTTAATTTCTATGTCTGGCTCTTAGTATTTGCCTGGCAACTTTATATTCACATAGAACTGACATCAATTATTTTTATCTCAGTTGGTCCTTCTTTTAATACCAATTAAAAACACAACCTTAACCAAACTTCATAAATAGAATAGTAAACAGTAAAAACACAGTGATTAATAAAGACAAAATGAACAAACAAAAAAATCACCTCTGAGAAGTCTTTCATATATTGGGAGAAAAAAAATAACCATATAATGAAACTTCTCATTGCTATATGTACCAACAATTTAGGATAGCAGGCGATGTCAGAGATTAATTTACCTTAGAGTTTCATTTTGGTTGAGGTTATAAGATAAATATGAAATAAAAACCAAAACATTTTAATTTAATTACTATTACCATATTTTGCCTCATGTAATATGCACGTTTTTTCCCAAATTTTGAGGGAAAAATAAGGATGCACATTATACATGGGTAGCACTAATTCTGTATCTATATAAATGATTTTAATTCTTTTATTTATGCTTATGAGTTAAAAGTGTAACTCTAGAAAACAATAATGATAACTGTATGCAAAATAATAACCTGGAGTATGATAATCAGTTTTATTGAACTTATGACAAACATGTTAGGACAAAGAGTTTTTGGTCTTCTGTGACCCATAAATATCAGAAATGTGTTACCGATACATAAAATCTCTTGTACCTTGTGTCTGTTCTTGTGTTTTGTAATTTTATCTGTTACATAAAATTTCTTGTACCATAATATTTTAAAAAAATAAATGGTAAAATTTCTTTATAATGCAAAAAACAAGTACCTAAATGTAAACAAATAGAAATTTGAATTAAAAAATTAAAATGAAAGATTTTTTTGCCTGAAAATTTGGGCCAAAAATGTAGGTGTGCATTATACACGGAAGCGCACCATGCACAGCAAAATATGATATATTTCCATCGTCCGGGACCCATTTTTAGTCAAAGAACGAGAAATGAAATAAACAGGTAGGTTGCATGACTGGTCACAGACCTTCTTCCCTCTCCAATGCATGTGATTTGACAGGGTTCTCCCATATCAGGTTTGGCCTTCAGCTTTCTTTGGCAATGGATAAGATGAAAGTACGTCCTACGCCTTATTTGGGCCTAAGTTTCTTGAGACTTTGCATGTTTCCTCTTATGCTCTGCCACTGCCTCAAGAAGTACATGCCAGAGCTAGCCCACTGGTCTCAGAAAGAAGGTGGGAGGACTCATGGGCAGAGTTGTCCCGGCTCAGGCTCCCCAGCCTAGAGCCACCGAGTAAATAAGCAGGTACAGGATTGAAAGCACTGGAGGCAAGCAGAGACAGCAAACACAAGCCCGCCCAGTTCAGCAGACCCTCAGCTAATTCACAGCTGCATGCACTGTCGTTATGTCACTTCTTTCTATATCCCTGAGTTTTGGGCTTTTAGACTATTCAGCAATAGCTCATTAACATAAATATGAATAAATAATAACCATCCTATGTTCTAGAAATGTTCCAAACCATTTCTAGAACTATTTAAGGAGAGAAGTGTTTTCTCCTTAAATCTCTAATACTTCTTCCCTTTTTGTTAGTCTCGGCTTAAGTAACATTTTTGTCTAGACCTGAATTTATACATATATATATCTATATATCTATCTATATATCTATATATCTATATCTATATCTATATCTATATCTATATCTATATCTATATCTATATCTATATCTATATATGGCATGAAAAGTTCCAAGGATGAATATTTGAATATAAAAAAATCAAAGTGCAAAGATCAAAATTAAAGAGAAAGCTTGGCTTGTTTTGAACACAGATGTAGATTTTAATGTGGCTAGCAGAATGAATGAAGTAGATGGCCAGGGGTAGGACAAGCAAGCCCTGTAGCACATGGTAAAGAGGCTTTACTTTTTACAAAAAGGAATGGGAATAATTTTAAACAAAAAAATAACAATCTCTTTATGTTCCAGAAAAATTGCAGTGACTACTTTAAATCTTGGATTGTAGAAATTTACAAACAACTCAGAAAAGAAATTAAGTCATCTTGGATAAAGGTAGAAAAAAGAAGGGAATGGAAACAAATATATAAAACAATGCTATACATCAAATACAACCTATAGACATTTTTGTTGACATGGTATTAGTAAAGGGGAAACATTACCAATGACTTAATTTTTGTGTGCTGTGTGTATGTTTGGTCTACCATGTAATTGATAAGCCCACTTACTGAGCTGGATAAAGAGGTAAGGAAAAAAAATACTCTGGGAGAAAAATAATTTGGTAGGAATCAATCATTTTGACATATTATTCCTTAGATGTCAATTAGATAAGCACGTGTAATCAAAAGCAGAGAATTACCTATGGGTATGGAGTTCAAGTGTGCTTTCTGAATAGGAAATATAACTTTGAGATATAACAGCCTAAATGTAAGGTAATGAGGGCAGTATCATCAAATTTGGGAGACAACCTTAAGAGGAAAGGAAGTGAATGATTAAGCACTATGCATGCAAGCTTTTGAGTCTGCAGCAGCAGCCCATCATCTATACAAAAGTAGGTGCTAGCAAAATGAAAAGAGCAACCCAATGGTGGAGGAAAACTGAAAAGAGCAATTTCAATCAAATAGGAAAGGATGGCTTTATTACTGTCTATTCAAGAGTATACTGCATGTGAATATGAGTCATGAGTCATCACACTTCGTTGGATATCATTACCTGAAATAGAGATTAGAAAAATGGTGCTTTATGCCATCAGGGAAGTGTGTTCAACAAATTATTTTTTTGTGAAAAGGGAAATATTAAGCACTGTCTTTCTTGAAGGGAATGGTCATTTTGAAAAAGTGAAATATTTAAAAGGCAAAAGTCACAAGAAGGTAAGTAGAATTGGGTCCCAGAACACAGATATAAGGATTGCCATGGAAAGAAACAGATATGCATCTTCCGTATTAGCATGAGGAAAATCTCAAAGGTTGGGTAACTATATTATAGAATAAGTAATTGTGGTGATGGGAGTATTATAAAATTCATTTTACTTTCTGGAACAGAGTACAAGAATAATTGAAATACACCCCCATGCCTCTCACAGGCATGACGTGTTAACAAGATATGTAGGACATGTTGTTAAGGTGTGAAACCTTATCACAGCCTGTGGATACATATGCCCAAACATGGCAGAATACATTAATATTGCCGTGCGAATTGAGGCTACAGAGCATCCCCCAAAATCTAGGAGTTCATTTAGTGAAAATAACACCTAAAAAGGGACGGGATATAGCGCTTGTTAACTGTGTGATCAAAATAAGAAATTTACTGTTGTGCATTGATGTTTCTAATAATACCTACATGTGAATTAAAGAAAGTCCAACATGAAAAAGCATTGTAAACAAGAAGAAGTGCAGGCATAAAGCAAATATGATTCAGAGAAGAGACGCCAGATTCAGACACTATAGAACAGTGGGAAATGAACGCCACTGGGCTTTTCAAAGCATTAGGCCATGCTACACTGAAACTGATTTACTTTCTTTGACTTGAGTTCATATCACAAACACTTCTCCTAATATCCCCAACCCAGAGAGGCCTGATGCGGAAGGCTGAACTGTGAGATGGAGAAGTTTTGTCACATGGAAAGGGTAGCATCCTTTAAAATGTAATCAGTAGGCAATCTGGTTATTAGATTATCTAAAGTTAGTTATTATTAACTTGTGTTCAAGAAACTTTTTGATTGGGGGTACTCTAGATAACAACAGTTTCTATACCGAAAGTTGGACCTATAGTTGAAACTTATTATTCAATCTCAAAAGTCCCCGCAGAAACTATCGGCAAATCCTAGACTATGTTGCTATCGATACACCCCTATGACATATGGCAGAACATGCACCATTTTAGAAACCTGAACACTTCAGAACTGTCAGTCTGAAAGAAAATGGGGGGTTCTTATGTTTGTAAGCTAAATTAAGAATCTGAAAATGTGTGATCTCCTTACCAGAGCAACCACCTGTCTTCTAGACATTTCACACAGAGCTTTCTAATATAAGCGCCACTATTAGTGATTGAGTGGTTTTAGAAATGTATTTTTATTTGAATGTAAAAAATAAAACTTACATTTACATATTTTTAAAAATGGTAGGCATAATTCTAGGCTTGTGTCCTCAGACTCATATATTTACTTGTTAGCATTCAGTGTAACGTAACTCAGAAAAGCTACAAAATAAGGGCTAGATATCATGTATGCTTGGATTCAAAGAGTCTTATTCGTGGAGTTGCAATTGAATTTCAACTCAAGTAGAACTAAATAGTTCCGCTTAACTACATTTGGATTTCTGCCTAACCACAGGGGGAAAAATTTAAAAAAAATGGAAGACTGAAATGTGAGAGAAAAGAAACTATTCAGGAGTATTATTACTAGATTGAATATAGAATCATTCAGTGCTAACAATTTAAAATTAAGAAGTGACATGGCTCCATTAAACTGTTTATCAAACAAACAAAAAATAATGACAATATTCTCAGTAGGTAAGTTTTCACAATAAATAATTTTCACAACAAAATCCATTTATTCCCTGTTACAAACCTTGAAAAACTAAACAGAATATCTTAATACTTTATGAACTTATATATATATTTAGAATTGTTTTACAAATGCTAATGTTAATTTAATATTTTGAGGACATCAGCAAGTATAATATCAAGTAATCAATTGATATAGGTCCTAATTGGGATTAATGATAAAACCTGAAAAATTCATGTTTTGAGAATTTTTTTTATATTCTAGTCCATAGATACAAAAAACAAACTAGTGTAAACTGAGTATATATAGCTGTACAAAACATTTAAAGATATTCTTCAAATTCTACTTTCCCCTGAGATAGAAACTACATAGGAATGTTACTGTGAG